TCAGAATCTAAAATTGACAAATCGAAAATACACCACATGCGTCAACACCGCGTCGTGTGGTTTGGTCTATTTAAAACTAAACGTCCCGTACAAAAACCCAACGCACGCGGTGAAGACGCATATTACCGCATGTGGCAATAACATATCGTGTGGCCCGAGCCTAATAATATGTTTATATTTTGTGGAGGAATCTGCTTGTTAATTGTTTTCTTATATTAATTAGGGAGGGGATCAAAACATTTTTATTTAATAGGTTTTAAGTTAAAAGATTTTTACAATAGTTTGTAAATTGTTTCTGACTTGTAAACATATACCGTCGTTCTGAGCCAAATTGTTATATTTTTATTTTGTTAAACGTGTAATAATTATGGCACCTCATCGGTCTAAAACAAGTGAAATTTGGAATCATTTCACCGAGTCTGCATACCAGAAGGCCAAATGCGGTTATTGTAGTGTTATCCTTAGTACTTCGGGAGGTTCGTTAAACAATTTAAAGCGACACTTGAAGTTGAAACATTGTACTATTCCGTTTAATTCAAGTGAAAGACGTCCTGTCGAAGGTTGGTTCATTCGTACTTTAAAATGTATCTTTTTTTAGCACAGAATTTTTTTTTTTAGAAATGACTGATGAATTAATTATGCCTGAACCGTCAGGATCAGGAACAACTTCAAATTCATCAGGAACTGAAATTATTCCAGGTCCATCCACGACAGAATCTTTTTCTCGTCCAAGACAGTCTGCAATATCATCATATTTTAATAAAACAAGACCATTAGATGTTAATCATCAAAAGAGAATTGATCAACAATTGACTAAAATGATTGTAAAAGGGTAAATATTCAATGATAATAATAATAATAACAATAACATTAATATAGAATATACAGATACAATATACACTAAGGTCGTAATATATTTTATTTAAATATATCTCTCTATCCTCATCATTTCACTAATTAAATAAGAGTTTGTTTCTAATTATTAGTTAATTTCTATAAATTCCTGATATTATAGAGTTTCTTTTTGCATATTCTGTACATTTTTTATATGCCCTGTGTGCAAAATGATGAACATTAGTTCTCGGCGATAGTGATTTTAATTCTTAATTGTAACCTCACAATTTTACTTCTATAGTTAATTAGTAACAATTAACGAGAAATGAGAATTATGTAAAAATAATCCCCTTCTCTATACAAAAAAAAAAATATATATATATAGATATATTATATATTTTATAATATTTATCATATTTTATATATTAATATTATTTTGTTAAAAATTAATAAAATTAGGAATATTTTTTTTAGATATTATCCATTTGATATAGTGGAGGACCAAGAGCTTAAACAATTTTGAAAAATGTTAAATAGTAGCTACAACTTGCCTTCAAGGAAAACAGTATCTAACAACATGATACCCCTTTTATATCAACAAACATACGAAAAAGTACAAGGTTACATGATGAATAGTTTTGCAGTATGTTTGACAACCGACGGTTGGACATCAATAAAAAATGAAAGCTACCTAGGAGTTACTGGTCACTTTATTAATGAAAATTCTTTACTTCAATCAGTATGTCTTGGCTGTGAGAATTTCAATGAGAGACATATAATTGAAAATCTTTCAGTATTTTTAAAAAATATAGTTTGTACATGGGGTATTCAGCACAAAATAGTAGCAGTTGTCAGTGATAATGCACCTAACATTGTAGGGGCCATAAAGGACAGTAATTTTCGACATATATCTTGCTTTGCACATAACGTCAATTTGGTAGTTCAAAAAGGATTAAAAAAAATTATTAAAGTTCAAAAAAAAGTTAAATCAATTGTAGAACATTTTAAAAGAAGTTTTAAAAGTTATAATTATTCTATTATTTTGAACTGTTTGGTACAATGGTACATATTATTTTATTTTGTTTAATATTATTTGATATTAAATGTTTTTATTATTACCTTTTAATTTTGTTTTTATTATATAATTTTAATTTTTAATAGTTGATCGTTATTTTATTATTTTATACAGTAACAGTTATTTTATTTTGTTTTACATTATTTTGATATTTGTTATTCAAAATTCTTATTATTACCTTTTAATTTTGTTTTTATATAATATATATTATGTATTATGTTGACATTCAAATAAGAATAAATATATTAATGTATTAAGTACCAGCTAGATAGCAAAATACCATTGACATATTATATAATTTTAATTTTTAATAGTTGATCGTTATTTTATTATTTTATACAGTAACAGTTATTTTATTTTGTTTTACATTATTTTGATATTTGTTATTCAAAGTTTTTATTATTACCTTATAATTTTGTTTTGACATTAAAATAAGTGTATAATGTAAGTCTTATCACTAATGTACCTTGTAGAAAGTACCTAGTTATCAGTTATATAATTAAGTATAACTAAAATTAATTACTTGTTAATGAGCAAATTAATTTAAGTATCATGACATGAATATTTTTCAATCGATAACACATAAACACTTTATACATGTACATAAACACATAGTGTGATAACACGGTGGTACATAATTACATAATACAGTTTAAACAGATGAAACACAAAAAATAGTGAACTAATAATCCGAACTTGAAACACTTGAAATCGTTCATCGTCCACAGTTAGTCAAGAAATTCGTTGGTACAAACCGGTGTAAATTTCCCCTTAAAAAACAAACCGGTGTGAATTTCAAGAAATTTTTTGGAGTAACCGGTGTTAACATTAACCACACCGGTTTCATTTTTCTACACCGTTACGTGCATATGGTGCAGAATACTTACACCGGTTTCATCCCCTCTCATTTCCCCTATTTTACCTCGAAATAATCAACGAACCGATAACAATAAATAGATAACAATTGATAATCATTTCAGTGTACCTACTTTACTGTTTACTGTTTAGTGTTAAATGTGTAAAAAGTAAAAGTAAATAGTAAAATTGAATCATGACTACCCGAAAAATTGACGAGCTTATTTTTGAAGGTAAGTAAGTTTTTACCAATAAATTAAGACTTTACTCGCAGAGTCTCAGATAGTTTACATCTGCTAGTTGGCTAGTGAACACGATTACACGAGGCGAGTTTACTAGCAGATAGTGAATTTGCCAACTAGCAGCTTGTAAACTCGCTCAATTTAATCGACGCTTATAGCTAGCTATATTAAAATTAAAATTTAAAAGTATATACCTAAATATCAATAGGTTAAGTAAATTAGTAAACTGGTACAATATGTAAGTATATACTGTTTCTTAAGGTAAAAATTGAAGTTAGTATCATAATTCATAAGCAATCAGTTGCTACTTTTTAATTCATCACCTATTGTGTACTTGTAGTTTGTACAATATCAATATTTTTTATTATTTATTATTGTAGTTGATGAGGAAGATTTTCCAGAAGATTTCAACACAATTGAACGTAAGTAAATGTAAATGAATTCTTGGATTATATTATATATAAATATGGCTAATGATTATCAATATTTAATTTGTCAATGAAAAATACTTAAACTGAAAATGAAGTAATCACACTGTATTTAAAATGGCAAATATGTATTAGAATACTTTCACTTAAATACATACCAATACCTAGCTACTATAACTATTATAGAATTATACTAGAATTTAGAAACACAAGATAGGTACTATGATATTTTTTTTAAAATACTAGACACTATATACATGTATCTATACTCTGTTCAAAATGAGATCAGTACTGGGTGGCGACCAGTTTATAAATCAGCAATATTTATAAATTAGCATTGTTTATTAACTATTAAATATTTAAATTTTATTCATATCCCATATTTTGAAATAAAATCTTGGTTACCTTTAAATGAAACTAATTTTTTGTAAGTTTCATTTGACATGCTAGATCTGCATAGAGAATGAATAAACCCAGCAAATGAATATAGCCGTTCAACAGCAGCTGAAGCGGTTAGGCTTGGTTATGCTTTATAAATGATATTTTTATTTTTGGATAGTTATTTAAGCAACTAAGTGATTTATTTTTATCATTTTAAAAGCTTATAAATTCAAGTTTGTTACTTGTCTGCTGTCTTAAATTTGCTCTCTAGGTCTGGCTCAGAAGAAAAAACAATAAAAGTCTCCTCTGACTCGTCACATGAATGGGATTCAATTTCCAAACAATTTTGTTTTACACTACAGTCTAATTCATTAATACATACATTTTGAATATTTTTTTCTCGATCACTTAATAGGTATGTTTGTGAGCCAACGCACTTTAAATGTAGGGCGAAAACATGTTGCTAAAATAACATAATTCACTTTAGGTATTAAATTTAAAAAAAGAATCAAATCTATATTGTTCAGTGACAATATTAATGAGGATATCATAGAAGACAAATGCCTTAATTTTTTTCTTTTAACGATTCAAGCCGGTATTTGAGTGAAAATAATGTTGGTATTAATACACTGTAGTAACAATTAACTTGGCTTTGCAAAGAATCTGATGCACATGCAATTAGCTTTAATACAATTACAAACTCATCTATACATTCTATTTTTAAATATTTAAAAACATAATTAGTATTTAAATGTTGGAAAACAGTATTTAATATAGTTTTGCTTTATAAATAATAAGTTGACTAATTGAATCAAGGAAAAAAATAAAAAGTTAACAAACTTGTAATTTAATTTATGAAATCCTTGACACAAAATAATATTATGTTTAATTTAGTATTTTTATATTTCTGATTGTTAAATAATTAGAACAATGGACTTCTGATGGAACTAAACTTTTAATAAGTCTCAGGGTTTCATATGCAGAAAAATTTTTAAAAGCCAAAAAGAAAGGGAAAAAAATGAGCTTTGGGAAATCATATCAAATGAAATGCTTGAGAAGAGATATAAATTTTCATCCAGACAGTGTGACGAGAAATGGAGACGTCTTCTTACTCAGTATAGACGAACACACGATGCCATGAAAACGTCTGGAAATAATGCAGTTAAATGGCAGTACTACCACTTAATGCAACAAGCTTTAGAACCTACAGGGAAAAAACAAACTATGTCACCGTCAAAGAGTAAATACTAAATTTTACTTAATATTAAATACATAGGCGCAAATAGCATTTGAGATTTAGGGGATTGAAGCCCTAGCGCGCACGCTAATACTAGGGGCTAGAGTTATACTTAATGAAGCATTTTTGGTAGCAATAAACATATAAAAATTTTCCTCGCTCAGCTCACTTATAATAGAACACAGATATACCGCATACCTAATTAGTAATTACAATATTGATAATCAAGGCTCAGAACTTTAGGCATTTGCATATTTGTTAACAAATGTGAATATTGAATAGTTGAATTTTTAAATTTTGTGTGTAAAATGTATTTATATGCCGTGGCCCGTGACAAGTTTTTAATAATTAAACATATTAAGCCTCTTATAAAAATCATAATTCATTTTTCACCAATGCTAAATGTGATGGCTATGATTTTTTATAACAAATGGTTTACCCTACGGCCTACATTACCCTGCATCATAACTATAATAATATTCAATTAGTAAAAAAAAAAATTTAGAATATGTTTGGGAGGGCTATTAAATTTGTTTTTGGTGGGGGCTTAGCCCCTAAAGAATCCCCCCCCCTATTTGCACCTAAGATTATATACATAACATAATTTGATTGTCATCATAAATTGTATTTTAAACATTTTATAGGCTTGTTGCATGAATCATCTTTTTCACCATTGGTATCTCGATCTCGTCCATCTATTTCATCTACACTATCTCAACAACATTCAATTGTTTCATCTCCAACATCTGAATATAGTGGTGAATTTGTTTCACCTCCAATAGTTCAACAACATGCGTCTGTTTCATCTCCGGCGTCTGAATGTAGTGGTGAATCTGTTTCACCTCCAATAGTTGAAAAACATACATATCTGTCAACTCCAACCTCCCAACGTTGCGAATCACCAAAAAATACGAAAACCCATTGGATGAAAGAGATAATTGCTTTCAAACAGGTGCAAAATGATGCATTAACCAAACGGTAAGTTTCTGATAATTAATTGTATTAAACAATTGATGTGTATTAATTTGTACCAATTTTGTAGGCTTGATAAATTAGAAGAAAGAGAGGGTGAGATGCTCAGAGTTCAACAACAACTTGTAGTTAAACTGGAAGAAGCTAACGATATTGAGAAACAAAAACTAGAGCTGTTTAGAACCATGTTTAGTGGTTAATTTTTCAATATATTATGTTACAAGTTGTAAATATGTTTGTATTATTATTACTATCATAAAAAGTATTAAGAATGATGAGTAAATTATTTTATTTTTTTTTTAATTGATATTTTGTATAATTATAACTATGTGACTAAAATTATATAAAATCTTAATAAGGAACTAAGAAGACTGGTTGTCAATAAGATTATTAATTGTTATTTATTATTATTTTTAATTGTTTAAGTTTTTTTATTAAAAAAACTGTGATAAAAATTATAAAAAATCTAAATAAGAAACTAAGAAGACTGGTTGTCAATAAGATTATTAATTGTTATTTATTATTATTTTTAATTGTTTAAGTTTTCATATTAAAAAATACTGTGATTAAAATTGTATATATAATCTTTTTTTTTTTTGTGTATGTGTATTAGTTACTATTATTTTACGATTTGTAAGATTGAAGCACTATTACTGCTCAAAATGTTGTCCCCCGACACAAAAAAAATAAATAAAACTTGCATCATTGTAAAATCAATACATTCATCACTCCGTTAAGAATCTAAAAGTTTTAAATTTTTTTGCTTAATAACCTTGGTCTTAAATCACTGTATCATTTAAAAAAACGCATCAACATTTGTTGAGTAGTTTTAAAGATCTAAGCACCCAGACAAAAATAGAGACTACTTGATAATATGTAGTAATGGTTGTTTCATATTTTTTTTAAATATAAAAAGTAATTTAAAACACATAAGTATAATATAATATTGTAGTTTATTTTTTCAATTAACATTTAATGATAACATATTGCACAATTCATCACGTTTTCTAACTCCAAGTCTTGACGCCGCTAGAGAGTTCTCTTCAGAATCTAACTCTGGAGAAGTATAAGGGTCAGCATCAAAATCGTCTTGCATATCGATACAAATATTATGTAAACAACAAGCTGCAGTGATTATCAAACCACATAGGGATTTGTGGTATACATCCATATGTCTAAAACATAATACAATATAATGTTAAAAATGTTTAATTTTTAGTTTTACGTAAAATTAAATTCATTTGTTTTATAAATATAATATATACTTCAACTTTCTAAATCTGCAGTAGAGTTTCCCAAATGCTTGTTCAACTACAACTCGAGAACTACTCAGGCACCGATTGAAATGTTTTTTGGCTAAGGTTAAATTCCCATTGTCCCTGTAAGGGATCATAACATTCTCTGATAGTGGGTAAGCTCCATCACCCAGAATATGACAATTCTCTGGTAAAATACTTAAATCATTACTCAAGAGTTTTTGTCCTATTAGACTTCTTCTGAACACTCTTGCGTCGTGAGATGATCCGGGCCAACCCGAAAACACATCAATGAACTTCAGATCGGAATCCACTATGCCCTAAAAATAATTTTAAGTATGAAAAAAAATGTTAACTTTTAAATATAATAACTCGTGTATTATACTACAACCTGTAGCAGAACTGAAGGGACTTGTTTTCTATTGTAAAACATATTCCTATCAAGTTTTTCCATAACAGTCCTTTTTTCCCAAGGGGCAAGTATAGAAATATGACAACCGTCGACTGCCCCCAATACTCCAGGGAAAGCATTTGCTCTTAGACAGTTGAATTTTTGCACAGTGATGTTAGCTTCTTGTCCTCTAGGCCATCTTATAAATTTTCCAGATAGTTCTTTCATATTATTTAAACAATTTAGCACTACTTTATGGCTGGTACTGTCAGCAATATTAAATCTGTTTCCTATTTGTCTAAAAATTATAAAATGTTAGTAATACGGCTAATAATAACTTGAATGAATAATTATATTAATTAACTATAGGTTAGGTACCAATCCTATAGTAATTAGTACCAACTTACCGATGGGTTTCACAGTTAGCCATGTACCAAATGAAGATCAATAATTGTTTTTTTATGCCTAATTTTACATCAGATTGAAATAATAAAGGACCCATATGTAAAATCAAAGTCTACAATGAAATATAAGTATAAGCTACAAGAAATAAGTAAGTTTGAGCATAAGAAATTATTATGTGGGTACCTCAATACTTCTTCTTGTAAGTCTAAAATGTATTTTAAAATCCCAGTCAGACATATTATACACGGTTACTTCAACAAAGTTGAAAATTTTACTTCTATGATGCCTTTCGTTATTGAGAAATAATTCTTCATCATCATCTTGGCTCAAGCTTACAATATCTACAAACACAATATTTATGATCCATATAAAGCTTCATTTATATATAAGTAGGGTTATTTATAAAACACACAATAATTGTTTTTTGAAAAAATTGTTTACATACAAATTCAATAGTATTTTAGTATTAAGAGATTTTACATCACATTGGTTATCTCCTTCATGTACTAATCAGATGAGCTTTCATTTTTGAATGAAAACCTCTATTTTTAATATCAGAAATTGGGTAAGTTATTTTGACTGGTTACGGCCATATAAATGTATTGTATGGTTAAAACATAAATATTAGTCCCATAACATACCTAATAAAAAATTGTTCACAATTTCACTACAGAATTATTTTATTAGTTACTGGGGTGAAAGTCTCATAGAAAGAACAAACTGGAGCCTTTATTTTGCAGAAAAAATTACATAATATAGACAAACAATTAGATTTAATGATATTAATAGATACTTACCTGTTAGACAATTTGAACGCACAAAAAGCGCAGGTAATCCATTTTTAATACAAGCACTAGTACGATTTTTGTTCAAAATGAACTCTTTAAAAAGTTTAATTTTAAATGAATTTGTTATAACTGATTGATTCATTTTGGAGCAGAATTTTGGAAAAAAATAATACTTATAAAATATAAATTTTACACAATTACAAGACGGAATATGTAAAATGGGAAAGATATGATGATAAGATATGAAAAATAAGGATGTTTAATTGATTATACTATCACTATTAATTTTGTCAGAGTGGTGGGGATATACCGATTTTCATCACAAAAATTTCATCTAAATATCGAATCTGGTGTAAAATAATCGGTAGCATGTATTAGTAAACCGGTACAAATAAATCGGTACACCACTTTGGACCAACGAATTTCTTGAGTGTATAAGTTCGTTCATGATGTGAACGATATGAACGATGAACTAGTCGTTCATCTAAACGTTAACTAGTTCATATCGTTCACTTTAGTGAATAGTTCAATTGAACTAGGTCGTTCATGAACGACACATCTCTATTATATAATATTATATTATACAAATAGTACAATATTATAGATAACTCAAGACACCGCTGCGGCGCTGCTGTGTGCTGTGTCATGTGTGCCAGCGTGTGCCGCCGCGTGGGACAGGCGACTGCGGAGTGCGGGACAGCGGACTATCCGATATTCGAATATTATTCAATACACCCGTCTAAAATTAGTGGTAAAATTTATATATATTTTCTAAGGGTAAAACCCAAACCATGAAGTACATTGATAATATCCCACCGGCCACTGAATCACAAGTCACAACCTCTGAACGGCTCCAGAGTGTAGAGTGAATTACAGTTATTACAGTATTACACTGATTATTATTTACTATATAGTGTTATACTCAGAAAGTCAGAACTCACGTCTCACGTTTTATTTTATGCTAATAGGTAGTGGTGATCTGGTGAGTAATATTATCTATTATTTATTTTAATTAAAATTTTAGTTGTAAGAGTTTAGTCATTAGTCGGTCAATTTCAGTTTACATTTAAGTCTATTTTATATTACCTATTATTTATTTCGTTTGGTCGTAGTTTAAACTTTAAGATTCTTAATACACAATATATTATGTAACTAGGTAACAGCTCAACAATTATCTTCAAATATACATTTACTATTTCAGATAGTTTAGCTTAGACTACAGCTAGTTTTCGGGCTAATTTTTATTTAATATCACACTTTGACTATCAAAATAAGAATCATTAATCATTATATTATTGAGCCAAACTAAATTTTCCAAAAATCAAATACTAATTTATTAAATATTATATATTAGTTTCTAGCAAGCATTATAATACAGTTGATATAATATACTAAGTTAGGTACCTACCTAGATATTTTTATTATGCAATAAACAATGCATGAATACATAACCTAGACAAATATTTTGGAACTATATAATATTTTATCATGTTAAATTATAGACCATATACCTAATTATAGTTATGGTCGTCATGTCATGTTTTTTCATAAATTCTTAGGGCCGTTCTTACAATGTCCGGTAAAGTGTCGGTTAACGCTAACCGACTGATAACAGATTTTATTACCGGCAGAATTCTTCCGGTTAAGTGTCGGTTAACTTTAACCGGACGTCGTAAGAACGGCCCTTAGTTAATCTAATAACCATAATATAACCCTCGTATTAGGTATATCTAATATTTTAATACGTTTCCAAAATACAAGTACCTAGCAAAAGTATTTGTACCTTCTAGGGTAGGTACTAAAAAACTTATTATAAATGTAATCTTAGTAGGGTAATTATACCGATTGTGTGATAACCATAACTTATAATAGTAAATTATTTTATTAAAATGTTTGGCAACACACCTACAAATATTAATAGTTAAGTACCTATTCATGTTTAAAAAAGGTGGGTAAGTGGATGTCGCTCTGCTGTACAGTAGGTTACAAGTGGGTCACTGTATAATGGATGCTATTAAATTTGAATTCAATGATATAATATCATTGTATAAGAAAAACGATTCTGAGCGAAGACGGTATGTCAGACGAGTGTGAAGTTGGGTGACCAAAGCTAGGTGACTATTTTTGGTGATAAGAAAACTTGTATGCTCGGTTGCATTACGGTATTTTCTAGGCGCACAATGTTTATATTGCCGTTTGTATGTTCTACTTCTATTTCTAACCACAAGATAGCAGTAAAAGATTCTTCACGAAATATTATAAGGTCGCCTAAACGCGAAGCCAGGACATAGCACTATACACGACACCCATACGACGCCTAACGTATACGCGCGCGTGGTTTTTGATTTTTCTGGCAGTGTTCCGGAAGGAGTCGAAGGACCTAACATAGATATTCGGAAAGCCAGGAAAATTTACTATCCGACGAGATAAAATTCAAGAGCTCCCTGGCTTTTCAAGTAACCGTACTTAGTAAACGAATGCACCAGGTGACTAATGCCGGTATGACGCGAAACGTATACGCGCGCGTGGTTTTTGATTTTTCCGGCAGTGTTCTGGAAGGAGTCGAAGGACCTAACATAGATATTCGGAAAGCCAGGAAAATTTACTATCCGACGAGATAAAATTCAAGAGCTCCCTGGCTTTTGAAGTAACCGTACTTAGTGCACGAAAGCGCCAGGTGACTATTTTGGTGAGTGCTTATATTTTGTATTTCTGTGTTGTACGTATTTTTAGCCACCATACCTGGCGGCTTCCAAAAATTATTAATGATGATTTCGTGTAAATATAATAGAGTATGAATTATACTTACACTGTATGAGATTTTCATTTAATTATTGTCTGTCTTATCTTTAGTGGTATTGGACTGTGCATGTTAGTAGTATATTTTTACATGTTTTGTGTTGAATGTGTGTTGATGTTTATCATTTTTTTTCTTTATTTCTAAGTGTTAGACTAATATATAATGTAATTTTTTTGTTATTGAATTGTTGAATTCCATTTTAAGCCAAGAAAATGCTAGTTAAGTTAAAGATATTTTATTGCTGCTATATGATGTTTTAATTATGTGCCATCTAGTGGTGAATTAAACTATCTTTATGCAATTTTATTGATATAGATGCTAATTTTGAATAGTATAGTGTTAACGGAACATATTTATGATTCACATAATAATGTAACTTTTTATAGAAATACATAACGTATGGTAAAAAGGTATTGTCGTATATGTAGACAGTCGTCACTATAATTAAATATAATATAGGTGGGAACATTTTTATTATGAATTATTAACATAGGTCAGGCCAATGAAGCAAGATGTGCTGCGGCAGCAATAATTATTTTGCTATATAACACCACCGGACGCGCAGGCACGGAGAGTCCCGTTCTCGCTGGTGTTTCAGCGAGAACGCGGGTGCGACAGTCGTGGTATAGACTAAGTGTTTTTAAATAATTATTGAATTATTTATATTTGTTTTACATTTTTAATAAAAGTGTTTCCGACCCGAAAATTATTTGTTTTGTTTGAGTAGCCACGCAATTCTACGTACGCTTTAAATCCGATCTGAAACCGATTAATTTATGGTCGTTGACGATTTAAAGTATAAACGGTGAAGGTAGTCCTACGTTAATTGTATTCTTTCAATCTGATCTGAAACCGATTAATTTATGGTCGTTGAAGATTGAAAGTCTAAACAGTAAGGTAGCGATATCGACGTCTAGGAGAGCCAAACTGTAACCGGTTAATTTATGGTCTCTTGGTTGCTCAAGTGTCGATAGAGGTATATCACTGGAAAGTGCATATACGACAGTATAATTTGAAAAAGTTGTAAAAAAAATTAATTGTACCTATTTAACAATTGTAATTAATCAATATATGTAGCATGTACAGTTATGAATTTATGTCACAAACGCACAACATAAACCTTAGGTATATGAAAATAAAATCATAATACATATAGAACACAATAAGTACTTAAAAAATAATAAAAATAAACTCTTTATAAATGCCAAAATATGGCTATAATGATGCATACCAGTACAATGTGAATATTTTGATTTTATTTAATTTTCAGAAAAATAAGTTAATTATTAATCGATTATAATCAAGTCGATTATTAATCGATTATAATCAAGTCGCGATTATAATCAAGTCGATTATTAATCGATTATAATCAAGTCGATTATTAATCGATTATAATAAAATTCGGTTAATGAAAAAAGAACCGATTATAATTGAAAATTAACTATAGCCGAGGGCCCGAGACATTATTTATAGATTACTAAATAAAACAATGTCCTCATAACAGTCAACGATACATGGAGTCGCTTGTATTATTCAAGTATTTATATTAATAGCTTATAATCGCTCTTTTACCAATTTACCATTATTATGAACGTGACGACTGACGAGTATTGTGTTTATTTTTAAAATCTGATAGAATTATTATTGATAAAACATTGTATTTATAAATATAATAATAATAATATGCTCTACATGCTGCATTGCTGCAGTTATTCTTCTCAGTTCTCACAATTAACGTTGAAGTGAACGGAGTAGGACACTCGGATTCGCATTTGAATTATTGTGATTTGTGTAAAAGTAACGACAGTCGACATTATTTATTAGTTAAAAAAGGTAAGTACGGCGTTAGCTTAGAAATCTAAATATTATTTATTATTTTTTGCATTTTAATTTAAACATAACTTGTATTAAATGTATAATAATAACTTATTAACTTATTAAGATTTTATAAACGAACCCAAGAATCAAGATGAGTGAAGTATGGCAAGTATTCACCAAACATGAAAATGGCATAAAAGTTGTATGTAAAATATGTGGTAAACAATATGCCAACTCTGGTTCAAACACAACCAATCTATGGAACCATTTAAAATTTAAACACAAGAACAAATATATAGAACTAGATCGTCTTCGAAGAGGAATAGCTGGACCTGATACACCTGAATCTCCTGATCTTGATATAGCAGATAATGACAATAAGTAAGTAAACAATTTATATTTTCCCTAGAATCTAGAAGCTCAGTCGGGCAAAGTATTTTTTTTTTCATGCATTAACACATTTGTGACAAAAATACTTAACACAACTAATTTGCATAATTTTTCAATCTGCACTCTGCACCTCT